AAACCATTCTATGATTCTATGCTGATGGCCTAAAGGACCCAAACCAGTTTTGTCGACTGGCTGGGCAATGCCCTGGGTTCTGCTGGCATTACAAAGCGTTGGCCTGTATCTATGGTGACACTCTAATATACTTTGATTATTCCAGCACCCAGGGAAATCGGCCAGATGTAGTCAATGACTCTACTCTCCTTCTATCCTTTCACATGCGCTATCTTTTCATCTCTTGCGTATCCAAGACAGTTGTCCAAAGAAGGGTCCTATTTCATTCAAAACCAAGATTAAAGATGTTGACCTTCCCTCTCCTTCTCCTCACACACACCCTCATTACACACTTTTGAGTCATTATTTACAAATTATTTTGTTTACTGTGTTGTCATGAGGAGAGAGAAAATAAAGCCTGTTTTCCAGACTGACTTCTTCCCTTAGCCTGCTTCCGAGTGCTGCTCTGTGCTGTGACTCTGGACATCACAACACATGGACCGGTGTTTATTAACTCCCATTCGTTTCCATAGCACTGATACTCCGTTTGCAAGTAAAATTACGGATGGTTTTTTTTTCTAGTTGTCAGCTCTGTAAATTCACCCAAAGATTTATGTGACAGACCAGCTCTTTCCTTCCTGTGAATCATCACGGGTGGTGAAGATTGGGCAGGCTGAATTAGGTGTGCAACTTGCTGGGGATTGACTTAGAATCATAGAAGGAATTGGATTGGAAGGGACCTTCAGAGGTCACTTCGTCCAACCCCCCTGCAGTGAGCAGGGACATCTTCACCAGAGCAGGTTGCTCAGAGCCCCATCAAACCTGACCTTGAATATCTCCAGGGACGGGGCTTCCACTACCTCTCTGGGCAACCTGTTCCAATGATCCACCACCCTCATATTGAAGAACTTTTTCCTGCTATCCAACCTGAATCTCCCCTTTTCCAGTTTAAAACCATCACCCCTCATCCTATTGCTCCACGCCCTTGTGAACAGTTCTTCTCCAGCTTTCTCACAGGCACCTTTCAGGTACTGGAAGGCAACTATAAGGTCCCCCAGTCCCTCTACTGAAGCATGAGTTAATAAAACAGCTTCTAGTAACCAATTTTACCTGTGTGTCTACGTAAAATCTCACTTTGCAGTGGATCCTTCTACGCACCTGAGTCTTTGTTCTCTTTTCAGGAAATTTTGCTTGCTGAAAAATGGGCCAAAATGAACAAACTTCCTTTCCCGAAAATAGACCCGTATGTGTTTGATCGAGAGGGCATGAAGGAGTGCTATGTTTTCAAACCAAAGGATACCTCTTCGGAGAAAGACTGTCCAACTATCATCCATTTTGTTTTGGCCAACATCAACTTCCGAAAGTATAAAGCTCCAGGTGAGCACACAGTTTCTGGTGCTAAATCTAGCTGTTCCTGTGAAGCTTTATAATGACATGGTGATTATATACTGCAAGTGTTTTGTCTCTGAAATAACTCTGAAGTCTGTCTGTAGTTAGAGATTTCAGAAGATGGTAAGTCCTCAGACCTGACATTTAGGTTGTGTTTTGGTATTTGTTCGATATGCAGGCGTTCCAAGAGAAACACAGGAAGAGAAGGATTTTGCAGACTTTGACATTTTTGATGATCCCAATACACCGTTCTCTACCTTCAACTTCCAGTATCCCAATGAGGCTTTCAAGAGGCTTCATGATCTAATGGAGTTCAACACCCTCAATAATATAGATGTAAGTGTGCCAGTGCACAAGGGGCTTCTGAAAGGGTCCAGGTTGTTAAACGGGAAAGTAGGTGATGTGAGTAGAACCCTCCATCTGTCATACAGAAGGGACAGGGCCTTACTTCAATGGTTGCCTGGTTGTTATGACATCTAAAGTGCTTCCTGCATTTAGTTCTGCCCCTTGCTGTTCTCAGAATTGAGACTGGATCAAAGCTCTTTATAGTCAGTGGAAACAAATCTGCTTTATTTTAATGAGGGCTGGAGTATTCTGTAGGTAAGTTCTTCATGATCTTGTGTAGAAGCATGAGTAAATTGTGGCGCGGTCAACTTGCAGCCTTCTAGCCTGGAAAGGAAAGAAGAGTCCAGTCACTGTAGGTAATATAGTGGCTGGAGTTACCTGAAGAGAATTGGACGAGATACAAAAAGTGAAGATTTAATCTTTCTCGAGATAATTATTTTCTATATCCTTTAAGTATGGATTCTCTCAGTGTTTTGAGTTGCTGTTCGGAATTTCACTGGGACTTGGTTTAAGTGATGTATATTCTTGTGCAACTCCTTTAATAACATTGGTGCTATCCCGTCATATCTTTACTTACCACATTAAAATCATTGTTTTATACGATCAAGAAATAATATTCATAATAATAATATTCATAATATTACTCAGCAGTCACTTTGTTCAATGATGGAGCAGTGATAAAAGCAGGAGCAGCAGTTGTTAACATCTGAGGGGGCCTTTTCTATCAGTTCATCAATTCTTAAAATGTTAATTATTTCCCCAAATGAGAGGTTTTTCCCTGTTTTTCCAGGTGATCAAGGAAGCTATGATGGAAAGCATTCAGTACAGAAAAGAGAACCCATCTCGCTGCTCCGTGTCTCTCAGCAGCGTTGAAGCCAGGAGATTCTTTAATAAGAACAATCTTAACAACAACCACACGTAGAGGATGGGTCGTAGGTCCCACTCCTTTGAGAAGCTGGTTCTGTCTTTATAACTGGAGTCACAAAGGCATTATCAGAGCGTCGCTGCTTCTGAAGAGGGCTGTGCAAAACTCCTCAAAACATTTTCTGGTGAATTTTCAAGCTTCAATATAATTTTGTATTTTATTATTTTTTTAAAACTAACAACATTACAAACATTTCAGTATGCTGATATCCTTCTTTTAAAAACTACAGAATTAGTTTATTTTGACTATGGTCATTGGGTTCAGTGTCTTTTTTTTTTTTTT